ACAAAGTGTATGTTTTGTGGGGCTAACAGCAAGCTCAGATTTTCTGTTTAGCACGTCTGCTATTCAGAAGAAACACGGCATATGAACTTACAACTCTTACTTAGAACACTTGACCTAAAACATAGCAATCACAAATGGTGCTTTCTATCCTTATCTGTCCTTCAATGATTGTGTTCCTGTGTATATGGGTTTCATGCCACAATAATAACACAGAGTTACTGATAGGTAGAATTTATTTTATCCTTCCCATTCACTGATTCTAACAATATTTTAGAATATCTCTGTACATGCTTGTGCTTTTAAAAAGGTTTTGATATGGAATGAAGTTTAAAATGAGTAGAAGTAAATCAGGGTTATGAGCTGTAAGGTATTGCCAAGTCCAAAGATATTGGTCTAGTTCAATATCTAGCACTAACCAACATGTAGAAGGGGCCATGGAAATATTCATCCCTTAAAGGCATCCCATAATGTACCTAGAAAATTAGACCATCCAGCAATAAAATAATTGCTGAAACTGGGTCACCTGCAAGAACTAGTTATTAATATGAGTAATTAGTAATTACTAATTTATTACTAGTACCTAACATTTATAAACCTTATAAATGACTGCATTGGTGTGAATTTTTCAGACCGAGTACGGGTATGTGGTTTTTGGTCCTAGTTTATACCAATACTGATACCAAAATCAGTAACCTATTTAGTATTAATCAATCAGGGATCGCAGAATATGTGTTTTCATACACTTAGGCTACTATGCTAGTTACCTTGTATGTAGTAGGGTTGCAAGTTTGGCGCGCGTTTTGTTCCACTTCGGAAAAGTGCTTCCGTACACCTGTGAGTAAAGTACATTTTTATTTTCACTGCAGTGGAATCACTAGTTGTAAAGGACCAAAAGCGGCTGATAATCAACAACAACAAACTGGGTACAATTGCATTTGTGTCGACGCATCCCTAGTTGAAATGTATATTGTGTCTGTTCTGTGTTAGCTGTTAGACATTTATGGCAAGTAATCAAATTAGTGCTCATAAACAGTAGCACATTAGCATTTCTGAATGTGGTACAGTTGACCCAGTATTCTGTAATCTTGCAGCCTAATATATGAATACAAATCAGTCGCACTATTACTACATTTAAATACAAGGAACTTCCTCTCAGCACTGAGGGCAAAAACATTATCCAGGCCTTTTTGCAGCTCACAGTGCTTAACATATGTTCTAGTCTCTGTTTTTAATCATCTGTTGGGAGGGATAGAGGAAGGGAGAGAAAGAGGGAGGGAGAAAGCGTTTTCTAATTAATCCATTGAGGCCTGGGATGTGCTTCTCTGGGCCAGTGGAAAAATCTGCACACTTAGCTGAGAATAGACTACAACAAAGAGAGGGGGAAACTCACACTGACATGCAGCACACACACACAAACACACACACACACACACACACACAAACAAATACATATGCTGTTTTACCGCCACAGGACTGGTCTAGTATTGAACATAAAAATAAATTCTCTTCCTGAAAGTGTGTGTGAGAGAGAGAGAGAGAGAGAGTGTGTGTGCATGTTGTGTTATAGTAATTATCACTTATATGTTTATCATAATTTTATAAATTTGTAAATTCCCAATAAAGCTAGCCCCGATACAGAATATAAGCAAGAATATAAACATTTCCTCCTTGAAACAACAGACATACCCTAATGGTATAATCACATGAATGTAATCATATGTGAGTAATGTGTGATCACATGTGAAAAACATGTGAAGGTTAATTTCATCATGTTATATCCTGAAATTGCACGTGTAAACTTAAATAAATACAAATGATCGCATGTGGGAGAATAAAAACATATGCACTAAATGTAAAAAATGTGTGAAACATAACAAATTGACTAAAACTATTCTGTATTTTTGTTAAAAGACTAAAATGGAATCCGAATTAAATGAACACTGCAGACTTCTAGAAATTCCTGAGGGCAGCTTCATATCTGATTATTAAACACACACACACACACACACAGACACACAGACACACACACACACACACACACATCTATTCCAAGGAAATTAAACGTACACAATTTTCCCCCTTACCTCAAATGTTAGCCATGTTAGCTTGTGAAGTGTGCTTTTTTTTTTTTTTTAGTTCTTTACTGATGTATAGATGTATAGATGGCTAATGTATCTAACGAGAAAAGGAAGGTAATACTTGCCTCAGACTCTCTAATCCACTTGTTTATGTGTTTTCTATCACTGTATGACACTTTTATTTAGAAAAATGCATGAAAGACGTCACAGAGCTAAAAACAGCAGCAGCCGCGGCCATCTTGAAGCCGAATCACATTTTACCTCAGCACACAGGTTGCTATCAAAACACCAGACTCAGGTGGGAGCCGTGGCCTAAAGTTTTAAGGTGGAATTGTATGTTAGAAGCGATTTGGATAAATATATTTAATGTGTACTTCTGCTATTCTGCTATTTCTGTTCAAATGGTATGGCTGAGCCAAATGATGTTAATGCTTGTTAATGAAATTTGTGCACTGTTATATCATTAGCTATTAGCTTCTCTTACTTGTTCTCTAAATTAGCTTTGGATGTCCAGTTAAGAAAAATGAAAGAAGCAAATTTTCACCAATAATATTATCATACAGTATCAGAGTGTTGCGGTTTATTTTTTTTAAGTGGCTAACGTATAAGAAGCTTATAGTTACCAGTTTAACACTGCACAAACTGCAACATTGTAAGTGTGTTTAAATAGAAATCACATGCAATTTTAGTCACATGGACTATAACTAATCCCTTATTCAGTCACAGCTTTTACTTGCTTTTACACAACCTAATAAACGTTGCACATGTCATGACAGGTCCTCAGTTGTAGCTTTTGATCCGCCTGTGCTGTTCTCGGTTTGTGACAAGCCAAGCTGCTGACACTCAGATGATGAAAAATGTTTGGCTAAAAACCACCGTGACTGCGAATCACATGGTGACATCTTGATCTTAGTAAAATGCCAAATACTTTATGTAATACCTGCTTTTCAGACCCTTCCTGTATTGCATAATCATTTTCAGTAGCTTGCATGTTTGCTTTTTTTTAACACAAGGTCTGGGAAGTAAAAAGGTCCTGTTCTGCTCAGCATTTTCATTGTGAGTTGGCTGGCACTACTCCTCCAGTGCTAATGCAGTTTGGCTCATATAGTCATATGCTGCTGAAATGAAACACATTTATTTTATAATTCATTCAGTAGTGTATTTAACGTTCAACCCCTGTCACAGCTGCTGAAGGTGGGATTGATAATGTTTTGCTGTTTTCATTGCATTTTATTGATTTTATTGACACTTTAATCCAAAGCGACATACAAGTGAGACGGAGACAATCCAATCATACAGCTGAGTTGTTGAACATTACGGGTCAAAGACCCCAAAGTGGTTCTCTGCTAGTCCTTGGATTTGAACTTGTCATCCTCTGATCACTAGCATAGAACCCTGATAGGCCGAGCTTCCCATTTGCAAATAGAAAATTCAAAAATACACTTTTTAAAGTCATTTAGAGGGCTTATTGCTTGTGAAAATCAGTTACTTATCATCATTTTCATTCACATAATCTGCATGACTGTGATGGTGAAATGCAATCCTGTCCAACTGCAAATGGCAGAAATATTTCATCTCTGATTTGTTAAAAAGCTAATGAGGTGGAGAAACTAAATGCTTTTGGCATTGTTATATATTCATGGAGATGGCCTCTGTAAAGTAGTTGAGGAGTCATGAGAACAGAAGCACGAGTGCGATTCCTCTGTCGATAGCTACGGGCTGCTTTCATGTTTATAACGTTCCCTTCTCTGCCTCACGAGGCATCTGTCTCCTTGACAACCTGGAATGCTCCTCGTCCTCATGAGTAAATAGAGACAGAAGAAAATACAGGCGTGTGAGACACAACATCTGTCTTAGTATGGCTCCTTATTGCTGTATGGCTTAGAGCTGTGTACACAGCAGGCAGAATGAAATTCCTCTAACACATGGAGATTATCGGTTATATAATATACCACACTACTCGACACACACAATATTATAAGTGTGAGCCGTCTGAATATTGACATTATTCCTGCGTTCCATTCAAGATAATGTTGTTTGAGAAGCATGCTATGGAGATAAAGTCTGTCCCTGTGAATGAAAAATAAGGACAGCTGTCTTCTAAGGTTCCTTATTTTGGATAATATATTATAGATATCATCCTGTGCATTCTGTTATATTACGTATCATTTAATTCTTCATTCTTGATTGTACAGCACAGTTACCACATTGCTCAGCGCATAATATCCTGCTCTCATCTGTTTAGTAGTAACTCCAGAGGATTTTGCTCACAAGGGTGATTTGATACACATTATGTGACACGGGCTATAAATGTTGGGATGTTCTAATGATATAAAAATGTACTCCATGGCAACAGCAGGGGCTGTCCTCTTTTTCGAGGTTCGACTTTGCTCTAAGGTTCCATCTGGTTGTCTGCTGACTATGCTAAATGACAATTTCACACAAGCCATTTCCATCATTAGCAGGGTGGATCTTACTGTTCTGGCAATCTGTAAGGTTCTTCCCTGATGATACAACCAGTATGGCCCCCCTCTTTCAAAGATAAAAAGACATCAGTATAAGGTTTCAATTTTGGCAACCTCATGAGAATATCTGCTGTTAACAAAGGTCTTAAAGTGGATTCTTTTGGAAGAAGTGGGGCTGGGGCTGATTTCTTTCTGCCCCAGGCTGTAGATTGATGCAGTCTATCAGTGATATGTCAGATGATTACACAGAGTGAAAGGTCCCCTAGAGCTGATGTCCACTGGGGCAAATATTTCAAAGCGTTCTTCACTGACATCATGCTTTTTTTTCTCCCCAAAATGCAACACAAAAGGACAGATGACAGAACTGTAAGTTTAGTATTATTTTATTTGAATGCAAGGCCTACAACTTTTCTGTTTACCATGTTTGGTACGCAAGACACTTAGAAATCATGACTGGGCCTGTGGTAGCACAGTGGTTAAGGCATTCAACTACAGACTGGAAGTTTGAGTTCAAATCCCAGCACTGTCAAAGTTGCCCCTGCTGGGCGTTTGACAAGGCCCTTAAACCTCAACTGCTCAGTTGTATAAATGTAATGTAAGGGCATCTGCCAAAGGATAAGGGTGTCTGCCAGATACCATAAATGTAAATCAACGGTGCTGCCTTTAAGTGTGTGTAATAACCATGCATCAACCTCTATCTGGTGTATAACTGAAGGTCAGTTTTATCAGAACTTAAGATCTCGGTGGAACCTCGATGAGACCTTGTGATATAATGCATTAATAGTTTCACTGTCAAGCTATTGATTAGATTTTTGCTCTCCCGTCACTGCATACAACAGTGTAAGTTGAATAATTTGAACATAAAATGAGCAACACCACCAACACTATTTTTGGATTTGTTTATAAGAAAAAATACAGCCTAAAATAACAGTAACTGATATAAGAAAGGGGTTTATTTAAAGGCAAGATAAACATTTGTGTATCTACAGTACATATTTATAGCTACAGTATTATTCCCTGATATAAAACTGCAGAGATACAGGGACACCCATTTATTTATCCACCAGCAGGAGAGGTAATCATACAAATAATTGAGTGTGGGGTTCCTCAGGGCTGCATGACAGGTCCATTAGGCTTTCTACATAAGCAGCTTAAAAATGGACTCTTCTGCTCAGCCAGTGGCAAAGTTCTATGCTTCTGAACAGAGACGCTATTATCACAGACTGGAGCCATCATCAGAGACGAACAGGACTGGACTGTCAATAAAAGTTTTGTGTCCACTCCAGGGAGGACAGAAACAGTGATCCTTAACAGTCTCTTTCTTAATGCAGTTGCACAACTGTTTCGACTGTGATTTAAATACAATTATAATCCCACATCAGGGATTTCTGAACCCAAAATGAAAGTACTGTATAGTTGTATAATGCAGTGAAAGGGATGGTTAGATCACTTTGTCCTGGGCATCATTTTAATCTCATTTACGTCTGAGACTAGCTAAATCATCACGGTTATATCAGACAGTAGCGATTTCATGCACTTGCATTAATAATCAGTGGTTGTTGGCTGGGCTGAAGTGGTTTTTAATGCTTGGTATTAAATTCTGTTGGCTCGTAGCTCTCAGGTCCATGCAGGCTGTGCTTTTACGTGTGGGCTGCCAGCTTCAAAGCACTTTAAAATGTGTCTCTTAGGATGTAGAGATGACCTCTGCCCATGGTTGCCCACAGTAGTATAAAATAGATAATCACTTCCATCCAAAGACAGTAGAGTGAGTTCATCATGTGCTTAGGTCATACATCATTGGTTATTAAATAGGCTGTGAGTATTTTGTTGGGAAAAAAGGAGCATGGCCAATAAACATCCTCAAAGAAATAACTGCTGCTCTCTGAACTAGAGCTTTGATTTGGTTTCAGTGATGACAGCGGCGTGGTAGCTTTCATACTGGTACACAAATGGTTCAAAGTGTCCACACTGTGCTTTAAGGAGGACATAACACGCCATCTCACCCATTGAAGTTCTGCTGATAATCAGTTCTTTGAAACTACTCCTAGATCTATATCATTAAATGATTGTCAAGACGTTGGAATTCATTCTGCTAAATCTCCTGAAAGCTTCAGGGCTCTTCACCGTTGAGGAAGGAAAAATTGAAAGGAAGCTGTAAGTCAATACTCTGTGGAGACTTGCAAATATGTGGTCTTTCTTCACATCGTGTCCTTACAGTCTTCTGAACTCATGCATGATTTAGTCACACTTCAAATAGTGCTTGCTTAAAAGAGACTGAAGAGCCTCTCACCCTGTTCTGCCCTTCTCTCTCAATTTTTTCCACTTTTTTTTCTCTTCTACAGAAGATGACATTTCATATTCTCACTCTATTGCCTCCTTTTATTGCCTATCATATTCTCCTCCATTCGTTTGTGATGTATTTAATATTCAGGTCCTTGGAGAGAGAGAATATCCATACAAGGTTATTCCTGTAGAGTAAGCACTAGCTCTTCTTGTTTACTGAGGAAATGTGTGCTTGTGTATGTGTCACAATTAATTTTAAACTCGCTCTTTTAGCCTGTGCAGAAAACCTGCATAACAGCTTCATTTGGCCATACGTGGCACTACATACATGCATGAATGTATTTGTGAAATCTACTGGGTATAATCCATAGCAGGGTCACCATGCAAAGAGGAGACTCGTGTATAAAGGACATGAAGGGTCTAGGAACTGACTGACAGGAGGACCAGTGAGAAGCTTTCCATGTAATTATCACCATGTGACCAGTTGGCTTTTAGGTTGCACCAAATACCAAGTTTGCCAACCAACTTGCATCCTCAAGTTGAAGACTGGTAATGCATGTGTTGTGAAAAAAAAAAAAAAAACATTAAAAAAATTTGTCTTGATGTGTTAGACAGTCGTCTCAATATTCTCAATTATCTCCACAGTCGACTTGGACGGCGAGAGCAGAGTGCATTCATCCTGTTCCCAGAGGCTCCCAGGACTGGAGTTGCCATCTGTGCTCAATTCATCGTCGTCCTCCTCATCGTCCTCCTCATCATCCTCACAGGAGTCGTCCTCGCAAGACTCCACATAGTGAAGACCCAAGGCGTTGATCCCAGAGTCCTCTGAGCTGGATGGTGAGGAGCAGTGGTCCATTTTGGGACCCTTTTGGCCTTGCGTGGCTGGAGTTTGGGCTACTGGGGATGGCTGGTTTTGAGTGTGCTGATTGGGCAGCTTGGCTGGTGAGGCCGGCGCCCTCTCTCGAGGAACAGGCACCGCTGCTAGAGGCCTCTGAACGTAGCACATCTTGCCATTGATCCTTTTTACAATGTAGTC